TCAAAAAACTTATTGAATGCCAGCCTTCTGTTGCTTGGGCAATCCTCTGGGGTGGAGTGGCTGGGTGCCCATAGCCTCCCCCCACCCCCTGCGTTCTTGGGCAGCTGGGTGAGGAAGATATGGAACTTGGGGAGGAGGGGAGGTGGTTATACAGGGGCTGCAGTGGTGGTCTGTGCTCCTGTTGCCTTTTCTGCAGCTCCACCAGACGCCTGAACATGTCAGTTTGCTCCCCCATTAGCTTCAGCATTGCATCCTGCCTCCTCTCAGCGTGCTCCTCCCTCCTCTCATTGCATTCATTTAACATTTTCCTGGACTCTGCCATTGTTTGCCTCTACACATTTTGCTGAGCTCTTTCACTGTGGGAGGACTGCATGAGCTCTGAGAACATCTCGTCGCGTGTGCGTTTTTTTCGCCTTCTAATCTGCGCAAGCCTCTGGTATGGAGATGATGGGTGGGGGCGTAGAAACATTTGCAGTTGCGGGAGGAAAGAAAGGGAGAGTAGTATTTAAAAAAAGATCCCTTTGTTCTCTAAAATGTAAGACTATTTCACACTGAATCAAGCGATTCACATTACATAGCACATGTGCTTTTGGTACAAGGTCGCATTTTGCCTCTTACGTTGAGTGCCTGCCAGTTTGGTGTGAGACATCACACACTCTCGGCGGGGCAACAGAATTTGGCTTGCAGGCAGCCATGGTAAGGCAAAGGGTTTCGGCTTCTTCAACCTTCATAACATGTGGGAACGGTTTCAAACAGCAGCACCCTCCTTTCCAAGCCCATTGGGTTGGCCATTTAAAAGGAGGGGCTGTGGTTTTAGGGTGAATGTGCAGCACAATCCAACCCCCCCCCCACCACCACCACACAATTCTCTCAGATGATCGCTTCACCCCCTCCCCCCACCGTGTGGCTAGTATCAGGGAAGATCCTTGTCAGCCAAACGTGAACAGCTCAGCATGAACGGGCCTCCCCCCACCGCGTGGCTAACAGCGGGATGATTTATTTTCAGCCAAAGGCAAACAGCCAAAGCCCGGGCCCATTCGCTGCAAAGTTTTGTTCTGCAATGAGTCCAGACTACTTGCTACTGGCTTGGCATGGTAAATTAATCATTAAACACGCTGGCTTTTAAGCCTTGTATTATATTTACAAAGGTACACTCACCAGAGGTGACTTCTCGGGCTTCATGGTCCGGGAGCCCACCTTGGGAGGGTTGGGAGGGTATTGGCTCCAGGGTGATGAACAGTTCCTGGCTGCCAGGGAGAAGGGATTCTCCACTTGCCTGCTGTGCGCTATCCTCAACCTCCTCCTCCTCATCATCATCCCTGTTGCGTGAGACTCCCCCCTTGCAGGTGTCCACGGACAGTGGTGGGGTAGTGGTAGGGGCCACCCTTAGAATTGCAAGCAGCGCATCATAGAACCGGCATGTATGGGGCTCTGACCCGGAGCGACTGTTTGCATCCTTTGTTTTTTGGTAGGCTTGCCTGAGCACCTTAATTTTCACGCGGCACTGCTGTGTGTCCCTGTTGTAGCCTCTGTCCATCATGCCCTTGGAGATTTTGGCAAATATATTGGCATTTCGTCTTTTGGAACGGAGTTCTGCCTGCACGGATGCTTCTCCCCATACAGCGATCAAATCCAGTACCTCCTGTTCGATCCTTGCTGGAGCTCTTTTGCGATTCTGGGACTCCATGGTCCCCTGTGCTGATGAGCTCTGCATGGTCACCTGTGCTGACTAGCTCGCCACGCTGGCCAAACAGGAAATGAAATTCAAAAGTTCCCAAGGCTTTTCCTGTCTACTTGCCCAGTGCATCTGAGTTGAGAGTGCTGTCCAGAGCAGTCACAATGAAGCACTCTGGGATAGATCCCGGAGGCGAATACCATCAAATTGCGTCCACACTACCCCAAATTCGATCCAGCGAGGTCAATGTTAGCGCTAATCCCCTCACTGGGGAGGAGTACAGAAATTGATTTTAAGAGCCCTTTAAGTCGACAAAACAGGCTTGGTCGTGTGGACAGGTGCAGGGTTAAATCGACCTAATGCTGCTAAATTCGACCTAAACTCGTAGTGTAGACCAGGGCTAAGGTGCCACAAGTACTCCTCATTCTTATTTGTAAGTGATACTAGCTCTTAAGGAATTCCATGCTAAGGATTTCATATGACAGTGAAGTGAAGGGCAGCATTTCCAAAGTTGGGCCCCAATCCCGCAAGCACTTAAGCACCTGCTTACCTTGATGTAGATGCAGTGGCGCTGGAACAATTTGTATAGTGGAGGTGCTGAGAGCCATTGAACAAAACTGTAAGCCCTGTATATGATGGAAACCACTTCAAGCCAGGGGGTGCTGCAGCACCCCTAGTTCCAGCACCCGTGTATAGAGGAGTTGGAGCCAGCAGGACTATTCATGCATCAAGTTAAACATGTGCACAGGTGTTTGCAGGACTGGGGTGCCGGATTGCTAAAGTCAGGTTGCCTATTTGGGCACTTAAGTGGCATGATTTTAAAGACATTGAGCACCTGGAGGTGAGAAGCTGCAAGTGCACAGCACCTGTAAAGTATCAGACTACTTGTCTGGGTGCTTTGAAATTTAGATTTAGGTGTCCAGCTTTATGCATCCAAATATGAAACTTTGGGACTAATGGCTCAGTCCTGCTCACACTGAAAAACCACTCGGTAGGGGTTTTGTCATTGGCTTAGCTCGGAGCTGGTCAACCCTTAATACTACAGAGCAGAAACAAAAATGAGAGGCTGACCATTCCACCTAGCCTGTGTCTACACTAGCCTTTTCCCACCCCAAATATATATACACACACATATCCACAAATATGTTTCTACATCTCACATTTCTCTCTCTGGTACTTGCAGCCATTTAGTTAAACAAGGTCCAACGCCTGTGTGGACACTTTAACTTCAGTTTCAGAGGGGCTTAGTTTAGTTTAGCTTTACCCTGTTCCTAATCAACTTAAACTCAACAAACTAAGCCCAGTTTCAACCTAAGTAAGAGGGTTCCCACAGGCTTTGCACCAGAACTAGGACAGCTCTGTGTGCAGAGAAGGCTTGAGATGAAAAGCATTCTTTCTAACACAGCTGTAAGGTTAGCCACAAATATTTTATTGCTGCTGCTTCAACTTGCTGAAGAGAGCTTTACACAATTGCTATTGTGTAATGTGGGAAATATAAAGAGGCTCTGTCCTATCTAAGCTGCTGTGGACTTCACCAAAATTTCCAAACTTCATTTCACCTTGAACTTGTCACTCATTCCATTCTGGTCATGTTAATACATTCCAAAGTTAACAGTTTATGTGTTTTAAACAAAGTCACATAATTTCATACAGGCACACCTCTTTTTACACTTCATTGTTCAATTCCGTATTGATAAGAGATCCTGCATATAGGGAATCAAATTGACTTCTGCATAATTTATTCTTTGTATTACCATAAATTGCTTATTGTTATTGCCCTTCCCCTGACCGCTGTTTACTTGTCTCAGACTATACACTCCTTAGAACAGGGACTGTCCTCCTTACATGCTTGGAAAGCACTTACCAGTCAGTGAGCTCTACTGCAAATAAATCATAATGGACCTGAATCAAAACCCTGCATTTGAACTTCCCCGGATTACAGAAATGCAGGTGGCCGATATCTAGCTCCAGATCAGAACTGTTCATCTCTGGCTCACCCCTAGTAGTGATGCTATTGCAGAGATAGTGATCTTGCTCGGAAACTTTTAGGGACGTTTACAGAAAAAAACGAGGGAGGTTGCTTGGACTTCTCTCTCCTCCCCCACCCTGCAGAATCCAGGTTCTCTCTCCCTCCATCTCTCCTACCCTAGTAAAAATCAGGACCTTTTGCCCCTCCACTCCCTATCTATGGCCAACAGGGTGGGGCCTGAGCAGTGCACCAACCAACCCCCACTGCCAAACAGGGAGAAGGAGAGGATCAGCTCTGAGGAAAGTTGTCCTCCTATGCTGCCTTGGGCTCTTCATTACCTGGACCAGTTCCAGGCCTGGACCTCCTTCCTGGGATGATCCTTCTCCTCTGTCACATTCCCTTTCTCTCTTCTTCTTCTGCCCCTATCTCCTCTTGTCCCTCCGGCTTCTCCTCCCCTGCAGGCTGTGCAGTGAGGGACTGAGAGCAGGCAAGCCACAGCGACTGGCAATGAGGTTTGGGGTGGTGAATGCAGCACCCAGGCCACAGGTGGTGTGTGTTGTGCAGGGGTTCTCAACCAGAAGTACATGTACCTGGGGTACATAGAGGTCTTCCAGGAGGTACATCCACTCATCTAGATAGTTACCTAGTTTTATAACAGGCTACATAAAATGCACTAGTGAAGTCAATACCAACTAAAATTCCATGACAAAATGAGCCCGTAAGCATTTTCAGTAAGAGTATGCTGTGACACTTATGTCTGATTTTGTAAGCAAGCACTTTTTAAAGTGAGGTGTAACTTGGGGTAGGCAAGACAAATCAGACTGCTGAAAGGGGTCCAAGCAGTCTGCAAAGGTTGCGAACCACTGACCTAGAGTGTGTTCACATAGCCCAGCACGGTCCTCACTGGGCAGTTAGAGCACGACCCCCGCCCCCGTGTCTTGGGTGGGGAATTCAGCAGCATCCCATTCAAAATCACCTCAGTGATTGCCCCTCAGTGCGCAATCCGTGTATGTGCCACAGGAGAGGTGGAGAAAAACACCCCCAAGGCCTTATGTGCTGTGTTCGTCGGGCCTGAATGGCATGACACACACACTTTATCTGTGTGCTTGCACAAGTAGTAGATTTATGCCTGAATTCATAATTATATGTAAAAAACCAGGAGGATTACTAAAAATTAGAGGGGGTTGGCATCTCTGCAATTCTTTGTGACCATTAACAAGTGGAAAGAAAGGAATTTGTTGGGGAAGCATGAGATTCCTTTGAAAAATCTGAGCTGATTATTTTGGCTAAATTGTCCATAGCAGTAGCACATGATGCCGATTACCATTAAATCATTGCTTTTACTTCTCTCTCTAGGAGAGGCTTACAAACAACATTTAACGCTGACACTACAGAACTGGAAAATGTCCTGACTGATGTGACAATGAGCTTCAGAAAGGATGTTCTTGATAAATTAAAACAAAAAACGCAGGTAAGAAGAGTTTGGAATGTTTGTGGGACTTGATCTGAACCTGGTAGTTCAGGATTTATTGCCATTTCCCCAATACACATCCCATTTTCCATGGATAGGAGATCATGGTCATTTCAAAATGTGGCATGTCTAGTTTTGGTACTAAACCTCTCCAACCCCAAGTCAGGTTTCTAGGGTTTTAGGCTTTTTGTTACAAACATTGATGCACTGGTTAAGCCACAGGAACAAAACAAAAAAAGTGTATTTGGGGGCTTCTTAGCATACTATATCCTAAAACAGCTTGGGTGAATTTCACTCCTGGTGAAACCACAGTGAAGGCAGTGAGATTACACCAGAGATGAATTTGGCTGTTTGATTAAAAAATAGCTTTCTAGGGGTTTTGTTTAGCCTAATTTATTCACAAGTCTGCCATCATGATCTATTACAGGGGTCAGCAATGTTTGGCACGCAGCTCGCCAGGGTAAGCATCGTGGCGGGCCGAGCCAGTTTATTTACCTGCTGATGCAGCAGGTAAATAAACTGGCCCGACCCGCCAGGGTGCTTACCCTGGCGAGCCACGTGCCAAAGGTTGCCGACCCCTGATCTATTACCAACTTCTATCTAAAGTCATATCACAGCATAGTGACAATAAAATGAGTTTATTCTGCCTCAGGGCTCTGTTCAAGTATGTTGTCATAGCAAAACCGAAGAGATCTTTCACCACTGGAAGGGCAAAGTCCTCCTGTCAGCACTACAGTGGAGATCTGGGATAAGAGGCTGAAATGACAAGTTATTTCTGTTGTAGTAGGGCTTTTCCAGATGCTTTGATAGGGATTTCTACAGCCTGCATGCTATGTGCACACTGGCTCCGGGCGTAAAAAAGGCATAATGTGGCTAAAACAGAAAGAGAATTGTGCAGTGATATACCACAGATGGTTTATGGATTGAACATGGACCTGGAAGGAGAATACAGGGATCTGAGGGGCAGGAGGGAGCAGAGTTGTGTGAAGGAAATGAGAGGAAAGTTTGGGACTTGTGCCCCACATTGATGAATGACCTATAGTTTGTCAGATAGGAGTTTCACTCTGTAAGTTAGAGAGAATAAACAACAGGAAACAGTGGTGCAAAGACACATCCTGGCAAACAAATGGAAGCATTTGGGCATAGCCCAGCTCCAGCATGATCCAAAGCTCACTAGAGTCAGTGGGAGTCTTTCCATTGGCTTCCGTAAGCTTTGTCTCAGGCCTGTCACACATAGGCAGGGGTGGGGCAGAGCCAAGAGTCCCAGCAAAGGAGAAGGCGGTATGTTTTAAAGATAGAATTGGAAAGGCATGGAGTTGGTGAGGCAGAGAGATATGGGAATGCTGTTCCAGATGGCAGGGCATGCAGAGGAAGGGATTTTTGGACCAACTGCGGGAAGGCTCAGTTAGGAGTTAGATGGTCAGGAGCTTAGAGAGATGTAGAAAGAAGCAGACAGAAAGCTGAGCTTGGGCAAATCGCAAGAGAATCGTCAGAAGGAGGGCAACTGAACTTGAATACCCACTGGGAGCCAGTGGAGGCATTTAAGCTATGACGGAGCTTCTCTTGGTACGACTGCATGTAGGCAGCATAATTCTGGAGATGCTAGTGTCTGGAGAGCCATGGGCAGACCACAGGGAAGAGACCTGCAATGATCAAAGAGAGGAGCAGGGCATGGATAAGGATTTCAGCAGAGATGTACCCTGGGTGGTGATGTGAAGGAGTTAATGAGCAGGCTGGGTCACTACAGGTTTAACCTCTACCATGAACAGAGGGAGTGTATATCTGGGAACTTTTCCCACAGCCAAATCCACCACACCCAGATCAGAGTGACAAGCAGAGGAGGATTCAGCATGAGATCCACAGACACTGGGGACGGCCTCCCTAAAAGGAGGGATTTGCCCTAGCGCATTTTGATTTATTTCTGGATAAGAGTTGAGATGGGAGGTGGTTAGTTTCAGAGCTAGCTTCCAACAGGTTTGCTTCTGATGGATGAGTCACATCCTCAGCTGGTGTAAATCTGTGTAGCTCAGCTGAAAGCAAGGGAGCTATGGTGACTGACACCAGCTGAACCTTGTACAATATATCAAGAAAACAGCCTGACCACAAGTATCACTATGTTCCAACAGTGCTCAGTGAGTTGCTCTTACATTCCACTTCGAGTTTCTATGATTAACATTTCAATTTCTCTCCTTACCCATAAGATTTGCCAGCTGATGCAAAAGGGTTTTACTTATCTAAAAAAATAGAGTCAGGGGATTACGCAAAACCAAAATGCAGGAAAAACACAGCATCTGCACTTAATCCCCTTAATCAAACAAAGCATGTACTGTAAGTGAGAGCCTGCTCGCCATGACGTTTACCACTGCTCTAGCACTGATCCCCCAGGATAGCTGCACTTCAGAGTTAGCCCGGCTCCAGCTGCACACTGTCTTTCTCTGAACCATGGTCATGTCTAACTTCGGACGCACTCCTGCATTCCTTGTGTGCCTAAAATTCCAGCAGAATTCCGTAAGAGCTTTGGGTGTGCAGTGAAAGCAGGAGTGGGCTCAACGTTATTGGGTGTGGGTAATAGTCTCAAATGCTCCTAAGGGACTTAGAAACATATGAGTAATGTTTTCAAAAGTAAAAGGCACTCAGGGGCTTGAGTTTCACTGAAATTCAATGGGACTTAGAGTCTAAGGTAAAGGTACTTAGGCACCTAGTAAGATTTTCGAAAGCACCTACACACCTAGCACTTGTTGAAATCAAGTGCTTTTGAAGATCACACTAAGTACCTATCTGCATGTTAGGTACCTAAATCCCTTTAATTATCTGGCCTTTAGTGCCTAAGATATTTCTGAACGAGTTAGTCTGGGTCTTCCTGTATGCTGTGTACAGTGCCCAAAACACAGTTTGCTCAGTAATTTGGGTTTGGAAGATGTTACTATAATAACGCTGGCGAATTGGTCTTTTTCCAGCCACTCTTTAAGAAAATTCTGACCAATGCATGGATGTTAAATAGTGAAATACTGGACTCAGTAATGTCAGCAACTGTACAATTTTGCCAACACCTAAAACATTTAGAGCAGCCTGTTAACAAGGTATGTATCCTTTTCCTATGCATTGCAATTGGCATGTTGTTACAGCAGTATAGGTGGTGATCTTATTTCCAGACTAGGGGCTGACCCTGCAAAGATCACTCCCTTCCCGTCAGTGCAGCTATTGATATAACTAACAATTGCTTAAATGAAAGTTTGCAAGGTATGTCCCTTACTTTTTCATGGAAATAACCTTTTAGTGCTTCCTTTCTACAACTGAAATAGGGGAATTGGTCTCAAAGAGGAACCAAAAGCATTGGTTAGTATTACTGTTCAATTGCTATACCCTGGCTGCCAGTGCTGTTGCATATTGTTCCTCCATCGGTTCGCTGCAATGCTGCAACCCTCTGGGAAGTCCAGCGACTCACTGTGATGGGTTGGATCACAGAAACCCCCTTGGGAGCTGCCACCCAATGTGCAAAGACTACCCCTGCTCCTGTTTTCCCTGCCAGCTCAGGACTCCAGCACCCTGTCTTGCTGAGCCAGACATTCCTGTCTGGCTCCAACACAGACCCAGGGTCT